AGGTCAAAAACGCACCGACCACACAAACGTAAAGAGAAAAGTTAAGATTAAGGAGCGGGCAAGGAGGCAGTAAATGCACCAGTCTTGCGCGCGTCGAGAGTCTTCGAGGACATCAAATTCGGTTTGAGGGGAATTACGAGTTCAATAAATTACAGCCCCCAGAAAAAACTCAGCATACGCGACGCTGAAAGAAGGCATCAGTAAACAAGCAAACGCGATATTTGTGAACTCGCAAATGTCGCGAGGATGTTGCCAGTGTCCGCTAGGTGAGTATTCCAGACTATTTGACTGCGACCCCCATAAAACTGTGGCAGGCATTGTGACAAAACTGTAAAAGCAGGTGTAGTAACACGTGGACGACACACAAAGCGGAGGAATAGAGCTGACAAGAACAGAGGAAGAACCAGAGTTCATGTGAGTGAAGAGAAGGGGTACTTTTTGATGTCACGCCCGGCGTCCGTTAGGTCTACACTTTCTCACAAACTCTGCTCAACTACGAGATAAACTCGGTTCTGCAACACGCACTAACAGACCATCTGGTAATACGCGCATGAGGGATCCTTACTGCGGTGGTGACATCATGGTGCTAGCAACCTCCTTTGCAGAAATTAAGTGCTATCTGTTACAGATAGAGGCAAAAGCGGTCGAAGTTGGCATGAAAACAACCTCCACCAGAACGAATATAGTTGTCTTGGGTTTTTGTGATCGGAAATATCTACATAGTCACAGCAGACTGTGAAATACTAAAGCTAGCTGGCAGCTTTTGTTACCTTGGATCAGACCTTTTGCCGAACGGGCAACGTAAGAACCAGACGCGAAAGACTTTCGTCTTTGGAATCGGTGTTAGACCAGTTTAAAAATTAAGCTTTCAGTATGCGACAGTCACGTCAAAATAATACTTTTCCATGCAAATTGGACAATGACCGTGCGCTCAGAAGATGACTATCGTCCGGCCGTATTTGATCAATGTTGTTTGTGCCCAATCCTCCAAATCCAACTCACTGATCGCGTTAGGAGCGCGATCCGTCATCCGCACTCTCTTTATTCGTCGAGTGCGATGGTTCGCCGATATAGGCAGAGAGGCGAATTTTAAGACTCGATGACTGAGACGGAAATTGTTTTACTGACGTTTAGAATTCACTACAGAATCTATCATCAAAGGTAGCTGACACATAGGGTGTGCATTTACGGGTTAGTTCAGTCACGTGCTGTGTCACTCTGAGGACAAAACTGTCCAGAATGCCGTCCCTGGCTGGCGACGGCTTTGAGGGCGACAGCTAAGGACGTGGGTTGACGGGTTGACAGCCCACCTCCAGCCCGGCGGTCTTCGGCCTGAGGACCTGGAATGCCAACTCATTCGATTAAAGACCAGCTGCAATGCACGGGAATCATTTGCTAATTTTGTGAATTCGGCCTCTTTAATCAGTCACATTGGCAAGCAAACAGGTACGGAGCAGTCAGTTTTATGGATTTGCAGTCGCTCTGTGAGACTGTTTACGTCCGCCTCTCGTCTGCGGCATCGACAAACTGTCCTATGCATAGCAGTCATGGTCCAGGAATCGTTTCGACAGATTGACGACGTCGGGTGACGACAGCAGCCAGTGTGTCTTTATAACGCCGGTGTATTTGTGTGCGTGAAGCCCGGTGCCAATAGAAGAGGGAACCAGCACGTGTCTGACACACGATAGACGAGGAGCTTTATGCCAGTAAGATACAACGCAAACTAGCCTCACCAGAATTAAACTCACACGCAAACCGGCACTTCTCCTCTCAGTAGAAACGACCATCAACCAATTCGACGAATAAACCGTAGGTGGTGTAACAAAGCACAAAAAAGTGCGGTGACGTGAGGAGTGGATAAGCGGAGAACACAAACGCGACAGGGCTTACACATATTCAATTGGAAACTGAAAACCGAGTTTTGATTCGCCCATCAGCTCAACGACCCGCATATTTTCACCGAGAGTGTGGTAGAAGATGTAGTTTTGACTGAGTATGTTCTCACAGACGCTGCGCAGCCGTGCACTGTGTGGGTCGCTCTATATAAAAAAACAAAAAAGATTGCACTAGAAAGCACTTGGCGGGATGAGGAAGCGATTGCACAAACAGGAAAGGGCGCATTACTGAAGATGCAAGTTTAAATCCAAATCTATTGACATCAAAACGATTCCAAATAAGAAGAGAAGTTAGTTCAAGTCAGTCGAGAAGTAATTCAGAGGAGTCAGGCGACAATTATCTGTGTAAAATGTGGTCATTGGACTTTAACTTATCGTAGAATTCTTCCACCAGAACGCAGTCAAAAAAGCACACGACTGCAGTCACCAAGGTCGGCAGGTCTGGCAGTGTCTAGGGGGTGCACCCGACGTCCTGTGCCAATGCAACGGGTCATGTGGGAGATGCGCTGGACCAACACGGGGACAGATTCGGGCACAATCCGTGTTACTCGGGTTGCGCAGAATCCGCGCATCCCATAATAAGCGTCACAGATGTGAGTGCGGTGGCAGGCCTAGTCGCAGGATCCCACCGCGCCAGTCACTCACGACCAATCTCGGCATCAGATCGGACGTGCTGGTGCCTGGGAGAGGGGGAGAGAGTGAGGTCGACTACGGTGATGCGTCCGTACGGCAATCACCGCACATTCCTCGCTAGAAACAAGCTGATGGGTTTAGAGACTGTCACGACGCGCTGGCAGTCGTGAAAGGTTGCCAACTGACGGGATAACTTGGTCCTCCTCTCAGGACAGAGAGTCAAGTCGTAATGATTCGTTCTCGGTGTGGCTTCCGTGACACTCCGCCCACATGGGGTCCGAGCTGCCATCTGGTTTCTATGAAAATCTGGTCTATCGTGCACAAACAAGGTGTGTATGTCACCCGTAGACGAGCTGTTTAGCTTGTCAGTCCCTACACCCGAAATCGCATCCAGTCGTCCTGACACTGTCTTACCACAGGGCTCAGACGGGTCGCTAAGGAGTGCAGCAGATGCTGCGCAAGTCTGCCACCACTACGAACTAAACCACACGCAAGTCACCGTCCCGTGGAAACCATGCCGTGGGAGGTGTGGTGGAAATCGCCGTTTGCGACGGTCGCGCTGACTAGACGTCATCCGAGGAGAGAGTAAGCTTGCTAGAATGCATATAGTGCCGCAACTGATCATGGCGGTAGACATTCGAGGTTACAGGAGGGCATCATCCTAGCTGCTGCAACAATACGAAATAGGCTCCAAATGAATATAAAACAAAATCGCATTACCGCCAAAGACAAGGGAGACTAGAATTGCCATTTCTGGCTTATTAGTCGTCGTCAGTCAGCTATATCCAACCCCAAAGTGTGGAACACCTGGGGTTCAATTTCGCGACGTGTTGGTTAGAAGTTCAAGGCCTCTAACCACTGGGCCACGGGCTCGTTGTCCTGTCAGTTGCGATCTGGAATAGGCAATGGTGGAGGGGCGCTCACCGATCGTGTTTGAGGAACTCACTCATCCCGTTGCTCCTTAGGGCTCTCTGTCAAGCCCAACGAGCAGCCGCACAGCGGTGCATGATATAGGCAGGATGATATGACCGACAAATACAAGGGAGACTGGAATGGCCATTTCTGGATTATTAGCCGTCGTCAGCCAGCCACACCCAGCCCCCGATCAGTGCGCACCCTTCTACCATTGCATATTCCTGATCGTAACTAACAGGACAACGAGCCCGTGGCCCAGTGGTGAGAGGCCTTGGACTTCTAACCAACAGGTCGCGGGATCGAGCCCCAGGTGTTCCACACTTCGGCGTTGAGTGAAGATGGCTGACGACGGCTAATGAGCCAGAAATGGCCATTCCAGTCTCCCTTATCTTTGCTGATAATGCCATTCTGCCTATAACACGCACTGCTGTGCGGCCGCTGGTTGGGCTCGAGAGAGAGCCCTAAGGAGCAACGGGACGAGTGCGTTCCGTAAAAACGATCGGTGAGCGTCCCTCTATCAAAATATAAAACGTGCCTAGGTAGCAATAAAAAGTTCGATTTATAACTCACAGGCCGCATAATCAAGTTATGACTCAGATTGTCAACTATTCGGACACGAGACGTATAGAGCTGACGTTTCTTCGAGTACATGTAATTGGAAAACACAATGAGATCATGTCAGCTGTAATAAGTATGTCAAGGAGTATTTGAAAGCGGGTTTTAACACACTCGACCAGCTCGATAGTAAACCCCGACGACTCGCACGCGTGGAGTGAGAATTTTTTGTCATTTCGGCCACCGGGCCCGAAATCGCCCCTACTCGACTTGGTCGGACCTTCCGCTAGTAGATGATGGGTGGAAAGAAACAGTGAGGCCGTCTCAACATCTACCTTTTTCGACGATAAAGAGTGGAGCGTGATTTCGGGCTACCACTGGATGCTAAAAGTCGCGGTTGGAGGGTTACGAATTGATGAAATAGCTCGGTCCTCTGACTGAAAGCAGGTTGTACTGGGTTTCTTTATCTCAACATGACCAATATATCAACTCTTATTGACGCCAAATTTAAGTAAGCAAAGCCTGGCCTGTGCGAAACAAGGGATCATCACGCGTGTGGCGCGCGTAGACCGGGGCATATTCAGGGTCAGTCAATGCACCCACGCCTACCTCCAGTCGTCTTGACTGTGGGGGGAAGTAAGTGGAGTAAATTATTCTCGAGTCTCTCAGGCCCCACTGGGGAAAAAAGACGCACTTGCGGCTATATGTACAGCCTAACAAGTCCGGTAGCTACGACCAGACAAGGTTCCTGACCTCTACCAACGGTGCCCCATCCCCATATTCATCCTTAATACTCTCTGGAGAATTCATGCCTAGGGGGAATCAGCCTAGGACAAAATGGAAGTGAAATAAATCATCGCGCCAGAAAAGGATGATGTTGCGCTGGAATCCCTGTTGCCCTCACAAATTGCTTCTTTTACAAAATTCCCTCGACACGCTCTTTACACTGCCAGGGGTCGTGATCTTCTACCGTAAGACACTTATCGTGATCGAGGCTCTATACTTTTCTATGAACTATCGGATGAGCTGTTTGGCCTAGGAAAACAAACGAGAGATTGTGCGTGGAGGCGGCTGGTGTAAGCAGTGCAGGAAACCCTCGAAAAGCGCATCACTGGATGTGGAAGTAGTTTAAAGGAACAAGGCTTGACGGGATTTAGAAATTTCAACGAAAATAGTGCTGGATGTCCGACCGTCGTTACCGACGATGTCAACCGTGTGCTCCACAAGCATCGGCGGGCTTTTGAATTTGAGCCGCCATTTTTGTAGCTCTCCATTCGCGTGTGGATTTTTACTAATTGTACATTATTGTGCCTTTTCTCTTCGATATATTCAACTGTTTTGCATCTTTTGTTTGTCTGAGCTAAGATTATGAGGTCGTCTCTACAGTACGCTAGCACCCTTTTGAACGGAATTAAATTGTCAATTTCACTTACGAACGACCATGATGCAAACTGTTATACTTTACGGCCAATATGTCGTAGTTGTGATCGTTCTGTGTTGAATCTATCAAATATTCGTCAACAACGGCCTATGCATCGGAGAAAACACCGTTGTGGCTGGCAATTCGCATTCAAACATCAGCCAAATCACAAATTGTCAATTCCTGCCTTCTTGTCGACAAACTGTCGTTCTATTTTCAACAAAACCCATGATTTGGAGCTACTTTTGTCGAAAAAAGTACACAGCAAAACTGAAGTTGTTTGCCTTCAAGAGACGTGGCTTAATAGTGACATTGATTCGCAACTTATTACGCCCCCACCCTTCTACTGCTTTCGAACAGATAGAAAATCTTTATCTTGTGGCAGAGGTGGAGGCGTTGCCATTTTCGTTAATCAAAATTGGTGTAGAGACTGTAAGTCCCTTTTTTCTTACTCTGATGATTTAATAGATGTAATCGCTGTTTTATGTAAGCCTCGTTTGTTAAGTAACTTTAAGGGCATCATATTTGTTAGTATTTACATTCCCCCCTCTTCCTGTGAAGGCGCATTAACCCGTTTTTTCGACTTCCTCTCACAAAAACTTGCTATATTATCCTGCGACTATCTTACTCTCTTATGCGGTGATTTTAATCGCGTGAATTTACGTCCCCTTACACTTTTAGGCTTCGATGATCTTACCTCCTTTAATACTCGCGCAGATGCCCCTCTTGATCATATTCTGACTAACCACAGCAAGCTTTTTTGCGTAAAAAACAGGGCTCCAGTGTCAGGTTCTGACCATTCCACTTTATTGTGCCTTCCAAAAATCTATTCCACTTCGAAACGTGCACTGCTTGCCAAGCCTGAGAGAAAGGTTAATGTTCGCAACACGTCCGCCCAAAACATTCTCATGCTTCAGACTTGCATTTCTCTTACTATCCCCACTTTCCTTGAACATTCTAATGTTGAATCCTGTTCTTCCAACCTGACAGCGTTTTTAAATGAAATTTTCGATATTTGCTGCCCTTTTGATACTGTTATGGTACGACCGGATAGAATTTCTTCCCCCTATCTGAAATCGTTAAGACGTAAAAAAGAACTCCTTTACAAGCTAGGCTTACGCGATAACCTTAAGGGCGTTACCGTCTTAATAAAAACAGAGATTGACAGGCTAAATAGCCTGTTTGTCAGCCAACTTTTTTCCTCTTCTTACTCCCCCCTTCCCCCCCTTCCTCAGCTGAGATTTGGAAAAATCTTAAGCGTCTCACTGGCCATCGCAACACGCTGGTGCATGTGGATGCAGATTTAGACTCCCTAAATAAAAATTTTATATTTAGTCACAATGACTCCCATCTTCCCTTAGAAGACATTCCCCTATCACCGAGTACATTCCAACCAGTGTCTTTGGCAATAGTAGAGAAACACTTTAAAAAGGTCCGTGGATCAACAGCTGTCGGACCGGATGGTGTCTCGCCTTTTCTTCTTAAATCTTGCAGTTCTCAGATGGCCCCTATTTTAACGCACCTAATCAACATGTCTTTCATGGAGTCCAAGATTCCCGACGCCTGGCGTACAGTGAGAATCACTCCCATCCCTAAAAAGCCTGCTAACTTTGGTCCTAAATCTTTTCGCCCAATTGCCTGCTCCTCTACAATACTAAAGCTTGCTGAAAGAGTTGCCCTAGATATCATAAAGCCTTTTTCTTCCAGTTTTTCCGACCCCTTACAATTCGCATACAAAGCTAAACGGAGTACTTTAGATGCTGTCGCTCTTGTGGTCCACTCTGCTCTAAAAGCATTAGACAAGGGTTGCCGCGAGTATGCGTGCGCTTTTCTTGATTACTCCTCCGCCTTCAATACCGTCCCGCGCCCTCTTCTCCTTTCCAAAACCTCCGCATGTGGCTCTCCAGGCTGGGTCGTCTCTTGGTTGAGCGATTATTTTACCTTCCGCACCCAATTTGTCCAATCTGGCAAGCGGAAATCTTCGACGCTTCCCTACGACTGCGGTGTTCTTCAAGGTTCCATTCTATCCCCTCACCTTTTCTCCCTCCACACTGATGATCTCAGGTCCCCTAATGACCGTCTTCTGGTCAAGTATGCTGACGATGTGGTTGTTGGACACCCTCTCAAAGGTCAGACACACCTCCGGTCTCTAAAGGATGGCCTAAACCATGTCCTAGCGTGGTCGGAGGAAAATGGTCTCCTAATTAACAACCAAAAATCCGTTCAGTGTATTTTTCGACTGCGGCCCTCTCCTAACCCTGATTCCTCTGACATTCTTCCTAACGAAGTATCCTCTTTCAGGTATCTCGGCGTTACTTTGTCCTCAAATCTTTCTTTTTCCCTCCACATTGAGTCCCTATTTATTAAATTTCGTAAACTTCTTTACTACATTCGTCGTTTGCGTTTCTACCACACACCTCAACCCTTAGTCTGGCGATTCATTGATGCCTGCATTCTTCCTCTTATCCTATACTGTTTTCCTGTCATTTTTCCTGCTTTGTTAAAAAAGGATCTTCTAATTTTGAAACGAATCCTCCGCATGTTCTCTTCTGCTGCTGGCGTTTCTTATATTTTTTTTTAGTTGACACAATCTTACAACGACACTTCAATGCGGTCAAGCAATTTGCTGGTCGAATTCTAGATGACGTTGCCCATCCCCTACATTCCGACCTTATGTCTGCCAAGTCTTCCCGCCCGATGCGCCGCAACTTCCGTCTTATGCCCCGTCGCACATCGGCTTATCGAGCTTCTGTATTGCCATTCCTAGCGCGCTATCTTACGTGCGAAGAGACAGAAATACAGAAGCTCAGACTCGAACTATCCCCATAATAATCGTCTCTTTGACTGTTGAATAATCTCTTAACTTATTTCCTGCCCACAGTGAATGGAGCCAATTTTTTGCTGAAAATTTTGAACTTACGATTTCAAAATAAAGCGCATTCCTCTCTCCCTCTCTCTCTCTCCACAGCAGAGTGAGAGCAGAGACGGTGACGTGCGCGTGAGCTAGTTTAAAGTGATGGTTGACTTGCGCTGTATCGAGCGCACTCTCCCCTCCTTTCCCACGTCGGCTCGGTACCAAGACACAGTCAGGAAAACCAAGGGCAGGAGAGAACCGGCACCTAAGTGTACCAGCATACCCCCTGGTCCGCAACGCACACTGGCCAGGATTTCATACGGCAAGAAAGTGGGGGAGGGCGGCACGGATTCCAATTGGCGCGACGTGAGCCTGCAACTGGGCTTGCCGTCACACCTCTAGGGTTGACATTTGTTGTGGGTGCGCCTACCGAAGTCCGAGCGTATCTACCGCCTGGCCCCTTTTAGGGGCAAGGAACACACAAACACACATGTGTGTGAAACCTACCTGAGAGCAGTCCGATTGAGGCTGGAACTTTTTCACCTGAATGACAAGAGTGCAAAAAGCACGTCCTGTCTCCTTTGAAGAAGCAAGAGTAGGACTACCGAAAGGGACGACAGAGGACGGAGGTTCACACATTCTGAGCTGCAGTGTAGATGCGTTGCAGAGTTCGGCGGCCGAAACAGTAGTCACCGCGACAACCTTAGACTGCAAAGTGAAATTGGGGTGGTCATTAAAATGCACACTTCTTGTGCTTTAATAGGGGAAGAAAAGGGCACCTTAGAAAACCCGATTGAGGGGAGAAATCAATTATATGACTTTAGATCTATCGCCTACATCCTTCGCCGGGCTTAGCAGCTCGCCCAAGCTGTAAGTGGCGTATTGCACAAACCGGGATAATTTCTGAGTAGGTAAACCACAGCAAGTGATACGTCGATAAATAAGCCAGAGGTAACCAGTCCAATCACGTGGTTAAAAGGCATACTCCGGACGAACACGTTCCTCCTGGTTCTAAGGTCGGGGTCTCCCCGTCAGAGAAAACAGTCCCACAGACGGGCAACCGAGTGCAGAAGAGCAGCTGGTTGCTAACAGGTCAACGACAGCAAGTGAGATCGTAGCCAACTGGCGACTGAAAACAGGTCATGTCTCTTTTCCGGGGGGCAGTACGGGGTGACTCAGCCAGAGGAGCATCAGCCTAATCGACGTCTCCTTGGTAATCTTTGCTAGCGTCCTCCTGAATTATTTGCGCTCCTCTGGGGCTCGAGAAACAGAGCGACGTCGGACTCCGCTGACAGAAGTGCACTCTAGAAGGCCTTGATGGATTATGGCACGCCATCTGAACGCATGAACTTGATGGAGGCATACCGTCAGATCACACCAATAAGGCTGTATACTGGGGTCCAAGAACACCGCCTCTTACCAGCCCTTTTTCTAACGAGTGATGTATTCGGCTGTCGAAACGGCTACGAAGATGCGAGGGTATGTCACGACCTCTAGAATCGTAACTATGACAACGACATGGCCCTGCCGGGGGAGCTCACTCACATAAGTCGTCATCATCAAATTCTGTGTAAATCAGGGCACTGAAAAAGCCAAAGTACTGTTCGACAGCCTTACGCCGTATGGAGCCCCTTGGATAGCGGGAGGTTGGATGAGGTCGGCTGTTTTGTTCACCTCGGCTCCGCTTTACTAACTGGTCAGTGTCAGGAGTAAGCAAGCTAGAACAAACCACCCGCTAAAAGAAGCGTTCATGTCAACTCTGTAGGAGCGAAATCGCTCCTCGTGTTAACATAAAGGCCATGTCGACGTCTGCGTAAGCACAGCATGCAGAAGATGTCGACACGACGGCACAGGTGAGGGCTTTGCCCAGTGATGACGGCTAATCCGCCAGAAACAGGCATTTCAGTGCCTCTGCCCGGACGACCACCTGACCGAGATTCAAGGCAAAATGGGATAAATCGGCGCATGTCAGTCACATTTGGTGCTTCGCTTCGCACAAAGAAACTATGAAGTAAAATCAAGGGAGAAAATTTTTCTTCGAAGCACACGCAAAAATATAAAAGAATGCGTGAACCCCTGCAAAAAATGTATAAAAACTGGGGGGAGGGAGGTCGTAAGGAAATTTTTTGTATGAGGTGATGAAAAAAGTAGCTCACCGCAGCTGAACGCAAGTCTTGTAACTCCATGAGAGATAACCGAATTGTTGCCGATTCTGTGAACATGTCCGAGCTAACTTTGACGGCTTTGTGGAAAGTGGGGCTGTCCTTGGTCTGGATGGGCAGAAAAATCAGAGCGAAAGACATAATTGTACGGCAAAATAGAGTGAATGCAGTTGCAGTGTAAGGAGTTAGATAGTACAACCCTAATTTGAGAATATGCCCAGACGCTATGCTGGACAACTTAGAGATCTCCGTGCAGTGACTGTGCCTATCAAATCCACCTCCAAACATCCTGTTTACCGGGCCGGGCTTAAATTAACAAGTAAATGAGCCCGGACAGGACGCTTACACAGCTAGCGAGCCGGAGTTCCGTGGTGGGTCTCAAAAGCCGAAGTTGCCCTTTATCGCACACTCATACCATGTACGCTGCGAAGACCGAAGTACATACTCTTAAGCTGCATTTCTAGCAGGGAGAAACCCCTCCTTATTGGTGGTCGACGACTGGAAAAGGCATGGTCTCAATTATCTAGGGGTAAGGCTATTGCCAAACGGACAGAGTAAGCATAACATCGGCGCCCGAATCCATACTGCTCGTAGATGTCTCGTAAACCTAGGTACCTATGTACCCGTCGCGATGTCCTACCCGCGTGAAGATCCGCGTGATCCGGACATCCGTGTGTGCAGAATATGGGGAGAAACTTGACGATTTCGAATACTGTCGTCTGCAAAAGATGCACGGACAACGTCTCAAATGAAACAATCCATACTCGTCATCACAACAGCTCGAAGATCGCACAGGTGATTTAACGGACGCGGTTGCAGCAGTTTGTGTGAGTTCCTTGTAATTCAGTGGCGCCGTCCCAAATAAACCTGCCTCAGTGGAACCGACTAGGAGATCAGTTCAAAACCAGGCTCGACACGTTTCGTCAAGATATTTATACGAACACTGGGCCTCCCCTATTTGCTGTCAACTGCAAGTGAAAAGGGTGGGATGTAGCGTGTGGGAAAGCATTATCGGGGACGTCATTGAGGACAGCTAAATCGGGGATTACTCCAGTCGTATCAGGCAGAAGCAACTACATTTTCCAATGACAAACGCTGGCATGAAGTCCCTGAGCTCATTAAATTCTTGAAAACCAATCCATTTCAGGACGAAAAATGTTTCGCATGCACCCTAAAGGGCCTATCCCTAGTGGGCTAGAAAAACATGCACTTTCTATACAACAGGGAACGTCTCCTGGCGCTCAAAATGAGCGTCTTAACAAGTAACAAGCATACCTCGGTCTCCGTCTCTGCAACGATCCTCCAAGTTGACTCGCCTGGCTCCTGAATTGAAACAGTGATGCGTAGACTAGAAACGGCGACTTGTGACGTAGAACGGGAGTCAAAAAGTAAGCCTGTCGGGCAAAGAATGTAAGGTAAACGCAATGATATAGATATTTCCATCGCCTATTCAATTACGAATCAAGGAGACATCCAGGCTTTGTGAAGTGAAACATGATGCCTCGAAGAATCCAGCTGCTACAATCTGCCTCACGAAGTCTAAAACAGTAAGTGCTCATAGACAAAAGCAAATCATCGTTTTTTCTTTCGTTTGCCGTCACATGACGCCTCCCGACCTACCACGACTGAAGACGGCACACGTTAGCTCGATCACTGCGAACGAAAACGTCCAACCTGTATCCCCCCCCCCCCCCAGGGTGGTGGGCGCAGGGCGGTGACTTGCCTGTGAATTGGCCCATGGTGAGAGCAGATTTGCTGCACCCTCCCCTCCCTAACCCACCTGGACCCGGTGACAAGACAGAGTCAGAGCGACCGGACGCAGGCTCGGGTGCAGTGGTTGGCAGAGTTAAACAGGCCGTCTACGCGTGTCACGAACGACCCGGCCCCGCACAGTGGGCCGAGTTTTCACGAAAGTGAGAGTGGCTCTGAGTGGGAGCGTCATAGAGGCCATGATAAGGAGCCATTGTACTTGGCTCTCAATGCCCGAGTCAATCAGCCCCCATATCAACACATACTTGTCCTGTTATCCTGGAGAGCAGGCTATAGTCCTCATAGGTTATTGAACCGCTAAGAACGTCAGAAGGGACGTACACGAAAAAAACAAGGGAAGTGAAGTGAATATTTGCCATCGCCGTTCTAGGACAGAAGGAATTCGTAAGACCGGTTCTAAAATCATGACATATCCGCCAGCGTCACGTTCAATTTGCTCTAAATGATCATAATCCCGACCGAAAGAGTATGCTTCCAGGGTCTAGGGCTCCAGAGTCGGGCCGAAAGTTTAGTCTACCTGGCGTGAGAGCTCTGACTGAGATGTGAATCTAGAGGGAAGTAGTCGGCGTGTCTCACCAACGCCGGGATACTTGTGTGTGTGAAGTCTGGTTCAGTTATGTAACGGAGACCGATAGCTCCTTCGGCGTTTCCGAATAGAACCATTACTGCCTGGAGAGGCAGCGGTAATTTGCGAGTGAATTAGTTTGTGGTGAGGACGACCTGCACGGCACTTACCCCACCCCTCCTTCACAAATCCAGTGTGTTCCAATGGCGAGACAAGGTTAACGCAGATCGTCGCAAACGCACCGCCGATGTGGCAAAGCTCACGCCTACATGTGCTTTATGTGTGTCAACTCCTGTGCACCCCTGAGTCCCAGTTAAATGTCTCGAGAATTATATGGGCTTCCAGTAAGTCCACATTTAGAAGACATCAAACCTTGTCTCTAATCAGAAGTGAGGCTTGGTTATCTCATTTGCTAACGGCCCTCCAATTCCGAACTTTTGACGCTTCGGATTTCTTAGGGTGGGGAAGATAGCTCTGGGTAGGCGTTAAGACAGTTATCAGTTTGTGTCTCTGCTTGCTCACTTTCCTTCAGTCCAGTAGCAGAGGCCAGTTGTTGTGACACGTCTAGACAGGAACTTACGTCAGGTCAGCCGACATGTGCATGCCATCTACAGCTCTTTTGGCCTAGTTTATTGTCAAACACGATGGGCATGAAAAGTGAGGAGATGGGATGATTGCCGCCGTAATCGATGGACGAACTAGTGGCTAGAACCTTCTAACTTCATTCTCCCCAAAGAAACTAAATCAAGTGTAATTCCTATGACATTCTGACCTGGGTGTGGTTTAAAAACAATTAGCCCATTTTCTGCCCATTTTTGTCGGTACACGTCTACCGATCGCCTTTTTTGTCAAGGCCTCATCGCAACCACATTTAAGTCGAAAGTTGAAGGCTTACAGCAAGCTGCGACTTGTAAAGGAAAAATGGAAGACACGTGGTTCACTTACAAAACTGTAGCTCCAGACCGCTCGTTGTAAACTCATCAGGCTCTAAAAACGAAGTAAAGGCAATTTAGACGGGCTAATATGCCAATTTAGGGATTTATGTCGTGAGTAAATAACTTCAGAAACGTTCACAAAATGACAGTTGGAGACTAAAATTAGCACTTCTTGCTCTTCTGCTGTCTGGAAGCAAGAATCGTCAAATGAAAAATGGAGACATCAGAAGAGGTTCCGCCCCCCCCCCCCCTCTCCAGAGGTGGCAGGTTGC